AATTAAACGAAATAAACATTTGAAATATATGAGTTTGTATGTAATGTATGAATATAATATACAAGTTTCACTTTTTAAATGGAATTACTGAAATAAATCTACTTTTTCATGATATTCTAATTTTATGACCAGCACCTGTACAACAAGGGGAATCATCAGTGCAGGTTCTGTACGGTGCCATTCCTCCTAGTAGTGCTACGGCAACTACTTGTAGATAAAATATTTAGCATTAAAACTGACTTTTTCATGTCTTTTTCATCTTTACTTCACTGAATCTGAAGAATTTATATCTGTAAATAACTGTTCTAGTTACCATAACATGAACTGTTGGATTTGTGTTTAAATTTCCTGGGATAAACACAACACTAATCATATTAGCTTCTCTGTGGTGTTTTCAGTGTATCTTGAGCAAGCAGCACTCAAGTAAGCTGCTTTCCCAGGTGATGGCAAGCCAAGATGGCAGCCCCCTGCTCCACAMATGTGGGATGTGTAAGGGAGGGAATCCAGCATAAAAACAATAAATAGATCTAGGGTTGTGCAATATTTGCATAAAAATATTATGATTAATTGTGAAATTTAGCCAAAAATGATAAATAACCATTAATAATACCACCCTGAACACGCCAGATCTCGTCTGATTCTGGAAACTGAGCAGGGTTGGGCCTGGTTAGTACTTGGATGGGAGACCGCTTGGGAATACCAGGTGTCGTAAAACCAATGTAGGAGTTGTGCCCAAATTGAAAAAAAAAACTATCAAGGAAAATCCTTTGACCTTAATAGGTCATATGTCRCCTTCTGAAGGATGCCAAAAAAAGAATTAGTGTTTATTTATGTACAATAAGCCAGAGTCATTTAAGTTTTAAGATAATTAAAAGACATCAATAGTTTTATTATCACWTCAAAGTCCTCAGAGTTATATTCCAACTGAATTGTGAGGTGCCTAAAGATTCCCACGCCTGAAAGACTGCCTGAGACTTCAAGGGCCTGCATGTTTCTTCCACACCTCCACTGTGGTAGTGCAACACTCGATCTATGAACAGCGTAGCCACATAACTTTAATTAATACCAACAACCATGAAGAACTCTGCGGTTGGAGCCATGCATTGTGGGCCTTTGGTTTATTTTTTTTAGTGACATACAAACAATCAGGAGTTGTAGAAAGCCAAAACTTGTATGATACAGTTATACAGTTAGATACCTACTCAACAACATTATTTCAGTTTTATTAGTGTTGAAGTGTCACTCAGCTCATCAGTGTAGTTTTATGTGTTGATCAATCACACCCCCATACTTGAACCCGTTTGAGCTCACAAAATGAGACACCACAGTACCACTGGTGTAAGAACAACAATAAAGGCRAACTACCTCAAATGGTTATAAGGACTCTGAACTGGTCTCCTGAGGTCCAACAGCACCCAGTGTTGGCTGGTTGAAGCGGTGCCAGGGAAGCTAAACAAGCTGCGGATGCAGTGGGAGTTAACAGTCGATRGTTGATGTGTTTATGTCTCGTTGTAGGTGGTCTGCTCTTATTTCACACGTATCACTGACCACCCTGGAGGCGCCTAACGTGCCGGGGAGGATCATTCATCCTGCCGAAGAGAAAGATGTTTGTTGAGCTTAATGTAAAACACCGTGGAGCTGATGGGAGCTTTGTTAGGCGCCGTCTAAACAATAAGAACAAGCGTCTTCGTCTTCAAGGTGGCTGGGGGGGAGGGGAGAAATGTCCTCCTAATGTCAAGGGTACATCTGCAGCTATATTAGTCCAAATGTTTACACAGTCTCAGTGGGAGCCATGGAAGAGAGTGGGCTAGAGTTCATTCGTTTCTCTCTGCACTAACCGTTCACTTCTGTGAATTTCACCAAAGGGGGGGTGGTGAGCTGTGTAGCCAAGAAGAGGAAAGGAGGTGTGTGTGCGTGCGTGCGTGTGTGTGTGTGTGTGTGTGTGTGTCAGATGTGCAGTGTCACAGTGTAAGTGGTGGGAGGGTTTTGTGCCGGCTGCTCTATCTGCCCATTTGTCTCCATCCAAGGCCATTTCCCAAAGAGGGAGGCCAACGTCTGCCAGCTCCCCTGCCGTCTGACGCTGCGTCAGCTGACCTGGGCCCTCCCCTCGTGGATTAGAGAGGAGCTGGAGGGCGGGGGGGAGGGCTTGCTCTGGGGCTGTGGGGAACAGGAAAGACGGAGAGGTTGGAGGAGAGAGAGAGAGGAAAAGAAAGAAGAGGCGAGTGAGAGTGTGCGTGAGGGAGCAGGTCTCGGCAGTGCTGAATGTAAACAGATTATTAGATTATTGGTCATGAGAAGAAGATGGCTGAAGAAAAGATTGCTCTGCGCGCTCTCTCTCTCTCCCTCTACTTTTTGTCTTTTTTCCCTCTTCGTTTCTGTCTGTGCTGATGGGGCTGTGTCTCCTCTTTTCGTGATTTAGCCTGTGAAACCGGGGAAACTTCTCGCTGGACCGAGGAAGAGATGGAGGTTGCCAAAAAAGGTAAGATTTGATATTTTTCTCTCTCTTTGTTGCTCATTTGCTTCTGCTTCTCACTAAGCTGCACAAGCCTCTCTGCTTTTTACGATTTAGTCCACCTCTCACTTTTTTTTAAGCCTTTTTAAATGTTGCTTTATTCTCTTATTTTCTTACATGCACACAGGAATTACTGTGCATTTAAATCTTTACAAACCAAAAAAGAAAAACAATCCTCCCCAACTGAGATGTCAGAAATCCAAAGAAATCAGAAACCCAGTTTATTTCCACCCTCTTGGCTTTGCTGCTTCGTGTGTTTCTCAGAAACGATCTGATAAGACAATTCAAAGAACAACAAATGATGACACTTATAATTTTGTTCTCATTTGAACGCATCTTAAGAGACACAACTAATTTTGCCTTCTAAATTGTTTACTTGCGGTTCTTGTTCTGCTAAAATCATTTGTCAAATGTGTGCCCTCATCCAATCTTCACTTTATAATAATGCTATAAAGCTTAGCTTCAAAATTCCAGCGGCACATGAAAAGATTAACGAAGATTTTTTCCACTTATACAAAAAAATCATGTTGCCCTCATCTTCTCAAGCATTCAGCATATGTCTGTAGATAAGTGGAGCTAAAAGAGCCCAGTCATGTGCTTCAGAAATCACTTTTATGCTTCCCTCACATGCAGCACTTTGTTCAGTTTCCCCTCTTAGCTGTAACTTGTTGATCTGCATTAATTGTTGTCATACAACAATAATGCATACAAGCCTTGGTTCTGCCTCTGCAGACTGAAATTCATGCCTTCAAAATAAAATACAGTTCAGGTTTTAGTAGTTTGTGTGTAAATGTACACATGTTCTGTGTGTAAATGTACACATGTTCAACCTAGCTTTCTGCTTTCATTGATTCTCATAGTCACCATATATGTATAGTTGCCATTGTAATAGGAATAACACTTGCATCTTAATTTTTAGTGTATATTAGCTTTTACATTTTGCAGTGTCTGCTCATTTATTTGTTAATTAATTAATTGTTAGCAAAATCAAAAGTGTAAAATTTGAAGTTTTAAGTCTGCATAATGTTGTCTTTGATATAAAATTATCTCCTAGAGTAGAACTAAATGAGACTCAATCAGTGCTTTCAGCTGGAACACTGATGGGGATTTGTGTTTAGCTCAGTGATAATTTGTTGAGCTGCCAGCATCCTTCATCCAAGCGGAGCTGGCAGAGATGGAAGGACAGATTTTCAATAAGAGACACCCTGAAGTCAAAGGTAAATGGCCGTCCTCCAAGCTCACAGAAGTTTCTAAAGTTTAGGAAGCTCATCAGCACAGATCAATGCACCAAAAATAAGGACGAGGAGGAGCAGCAGAAAACCACAACTTTAGAAAGTTTTATAGTCCTGCTATGACTATTTCAGTTTAAGTTTCTGGAAGCTTTTACTCCATCCTCGTTAAACGCATTGAACTAAGTACTTCCGATCGATTTGTTTTTGTTTTTGCCAGGGCTCGTTGAGCACGGCCGAAACTGGACGGCCATCGCCAAAATGGTGGGCACCAAAAGTGAGGCGCAGTGCAAGAACTTTTATTTCAACTACAAGAGACGACACAACTTGGACAACCTGCTCCAGCAACATAAGAAGGTAAAAYGCTGCGTTTTTTTTATCACTGCAACACTGAAGTGCAAATAGAAAACAATGAGTTGTTTGTTTGTGTTCCCCAGGTTACCCGACGGGCTCTTGCTGATAGGTCTCAAGGGGAAGGCCAAGCCACGGCATCACCTGACGATGACGAGGAAAATGCAGATGACAGTGAAGGTCAGAGAGATGACTGATGAGAAGAGTGTGTTCTTTATTTTGAACCTTTCCTCCTGTTTTTTTTTTTTTTTTCGAACAAGGGCATCGTGGGCAGAAGCTTCACGTCTGCACACGGTTGCTTTGACTTCATTTGTCCTTGTTTATAAAGTGYGCAGCTTTGGTCCTGTATTGCAAAAATACTAGGTGAAGAAGTAAGAAACTATCTTTTACAGCTGCAGTGCTCAGTTCATGCCGCTTTATGTAGAGTGAGATTTTTACAGATAAGAAACTTGAACTTGGTCTTACTCTTCATCTTTTAAATGCTGTTCGTGTTTACTTAAGGCTTTAGCCACACAAACCAAACATTATTGCATTAAATCATTGTTTAATAGAGAAAATATTGCTATAAATAGGATCCACAAGGGACCTGAATTAAATAGAACTATTACAGTTCTCCATGTGGTTGGTTATACAGCGTTTATCCTAGCATTATTATTGACTCACGGTTTGTTGAAAAAAATGCATGTGGCAGATTTTTCTATGAAAATGGTTGCAGAGTTGTTTAAGAGGTGTTGTTTGAAGTTCTCCTTACGACAAACAACATCCAAAGCTACAGACCTGAATGTCCATGTCTAAAAACCATGCTGAGAAAAAWTATTTATGAAGGTATTCGTAAAAAAAAAAGTTTCAAATCTGTCCATCTTYATTTTAAAAGTGTACTCCAGTAGAATAAATGSTAACTGTGGGGTCAGCTGCCAAGGTTTGTACTCTGTATTTGGAGCTGGGAAATGAAGTCATGTTAGAGGATAGTTTTACAATCTGTGAACATAAACATAGAACATGTAAAATAATGGTATCATGGCTCACTGGTTGCTTGGTTGAAAACAATTAGAAATMCGAAAATATTTGCACATTTTCTTACTATTTTGAGTTGCCAACTGTAGATGAAATATTTGCTTTATGTTGGTTAATGGTTGCATTCCTACTATTCTGGTTGTTTAATGCTAATTAGCCACATGCTACAATTGTAGTTGGTATTGTAACCAACTTAAAATGAATCAATCGGAAAACATTCCAGCTAAATACACATAATGATCWCTTGAAGTTGTCTGGTAATGATTATTGTTTTATTATTTGACCTTACTTGGTTTTAAAAGTCTTTATTGTTGTGCACCTTGCTTTCATAGCTAGCTGTTTTATTTAACATGAAATAATTTCTTACACAATGACACAGTTAGTAGAGCTGCTGCCTCTCAGCGAAAAGGTTGAAGGATCAAATCCCGTCCTGCTGCCTCTCTCTCTGGGTGGAGTTTACGTTTGTTCTCCGTTACGTTCTCCCTGTGCATGCGCACACGCTGGTATCCGCCCACAGACCAAAAGCATGAATGTTAGGTTATTTGGTAACTAAACTGTCCCCATGTGTGAGTGAGAGCGTGGATGGTTCATTGTCTATTCTGCGACCCAGAAAGGAAAAAACTTTAACATCGGTATCGGTTCTTTACGTAAAACTGGGCTGATATTAACGTCTGATATTGATTTTCCACTTGTTGGGGTTTGTGTTTCTGTTCTAGAGGATATATGTATATAAATAATGTGTGTGTTTATGTAATAATGGTAAATATTGGTTACTGGCCAAAACAGCAATATTAATATTGGATATTGACATCGGTTGAAATTTTCCTTTCGGTGCATGCCTATGTATAATTCATCTTCTATTATTTTCCTCAGGTGGAGACCACAGCTCTGACACAGAGAGCGCCCCTTCTCCCTCACAGGCTGACCCCTCAAAGTCAACAGACTCAAAGAGACCAGACAGCATCTCGACCGATGCTCAGTGTGCAGACCAGGACAAAGGTCACGCCAGCAACGCCAAAGCTGCCGAGCCTTCATACGAGGAGCTTCGCGTCAAGGAGGAGAAAAGCCCTGAGAGCGAGCCCGGGTCTCAGGAGGAAAAAGTCCGGGTCGCTTCTTTCCCCGCTCCGGTGCATCCCAAAACCGAACCTCAGGATGTGGACATGAAAACAGGAGAGGTTCAAGTCAAAGTGGAGCCTGAGATCAAGGAGAAGGTAGAAAAGGGAGATCAAGGTGACAGGCAGGGTGAGCTCCACTCCGATAATGACTCAAGCGCCACCTGCAGTGCTGATGAGGATGTGGAGGCAGAACCTGAGAGACAGAGGTGAGTCTCTGTAGTCCTTGTATTTGATTTGTGTGTATAACATGGTGCTGTACAAGAGCAGGATCATGGTTTGGGGTGTTATTGAGACGTTTTGCTCAACTCTGCAGACTACACCCCATGGAAAAACCCTCGTTGCTCAGCTCTCCAGGCTCTGTGCTCGTGTCCTCACCCAAACAAACCCATCTCAGCATCCAGCAAATGGAGCAGCGAGCAGCTTCCATCCCCCCTATGGTGAGCTTTGTGTTGATTTATTTTGACTAGCACAGATGAAAGCCTTACACTGTAGCGTGTAAGATCTGGATCAGTTCTCTGATCATACAATATGGTATGTCTTTAATCTTCCTTAACCCTTTTAATTTATAAGCAGGATTTTATTGGTATTTAGTTCACATATCCTCAGAACTCAATTTTGTCTTTTTTTGTTGTTTTTATTTCCTCCTCACTGTTTATCTAGGTGCCTGGTTCTTATGGACCTGGCGGAGTGTCCATCACTGGTCTGACGATGTTTCAGCACCAGATAAAAGCGGTTCACGACTCGGCACACCAGGAAGAGAAGCAGAGGCAGGATCAAGGAGACCTGGAACGTAGACCTCCCTTTAACACTCGCAGCCCGACCATACTGGACAGAGATGGTTAGAACAAAAYCCGTCTTTAAAACTGCTTCTTTAAGGTCATAACTCCTCCTTAGCTTCTCAGTAACTACTGTGTTTGTGAGGTCTTATTTGTTCATAAATCAACGTGTGTGGTGGGGATTTTTTTGGTCAAACCGTAGTTATGATGTGAAATTAGACAAAAAAAAAAGAGTAGGCTTTGATATTAAGTCTTGTGACGATCCTCATAATGTGTGTTTCTATTTGTTGTTGTCTGACTTGAGGATATTCGAGGATGCTGATATAGTTTATCGTCATTGACTTGCTCAGAAAGGAAGCAGCAACATGACAGTTTGATTTTCTTGAAAAGCTTTTAGCACCTTTAAGTCGAAGTGCTGTGCAGAGTAGGCCAGTCGGTAAGTTGCTGAGCTTTAACACCAGTGTAACACAAACGTTTTAACAGGTGTGTGTCCGGGTGGTGAGGTTTGCTCAGGTCCATCCGTTCTGGGTCAGCACCGGGCTTCTGCTTTAGGAGCCATTTATTTTCCCTTTTATCCTCATGCCTGTACATGACAGGTCCAATACCCTCCATGCTTTATGGCACGGTGCTGGCTCTGGATCAGGAGGCTCGGTCCAGTCAGCCAGGCTCTCCCTGCAGACACACAACCACTTTCCTGCAAGCCATGAGCAGCTTATTCCTTTTTTTCAACCTGACCCTTTTGCCCCCACTCCTTACTAAAGTGTGAGAACGTGTCAATGTGTGCTTAAAACCATTATTTCACTAAATGACAGGATACAACTCCGGTGAGTCTTATGATCGTTTTTAGGAAAAGCCCAGAATAATCCGAATTATATAAAGTTAATAAGAAAGATTATCTAACACAGACTTTCTAAAAAACATTTAATAGAATTTAAGTTCTATATCTTAATGAGTTTAACTGGTAAAGGGACAAACAGAAAATATTAAGTTGGGAGTAGTTAAAATAGTTTTAAAACTGAGGCTTAAAATGAGGGGTAAAAATTGAGGMGGAGGATCACAAAAATAAGTTGGATTGTTTCGTTTATTTCAAAAAACAGATTTGTTTTATTGTCTTCGTGGTTGCAGTAAATTATTTGTTTTTATATTTCCCGTGGTGATTTGTTGTTTCTGAGGCAGAATCTAGTTGATGAGTCTTTTTTTAGATTTGTCATAGTGAGGTTTTGTTTGTTCGTCTGTCCCTTTTACGAGCCAGCAGGATGATGGCATCCGTACCCGCTGGAGGAACTCACTCAGACATTTGCATTTTTGATGGCGCAGAGTGCAAAGCGAGGTGCTCTCTCCACAGGGAGGTTACTCTCAGTGTGTGTCTGGGTTTATTTGTGGTCTGTTTTGATCCATTTTGTCTGCTCAGCTTTCCCAGGGTACATTAAATGCAGACAGACCAGTGTTAGCTCTGAAAAGAGGCCACCAACTGCGGGCTTTTTTTTAATGTTCAAATTTTAATGAAAAGTGTAACTTTTCTTGTCAGTGTTGTTGGAGTTTAGGCTCCAGTTTTAGATATTTGCTGTTTAATGCTAGTTATGTAATTATGTTTGTTTCTTTGTAATTTTCCCATTAGTCCTCCACCCTGCCTCCAGCCAGCTGGTTCAGGGTTTAAATGACGGAGTCCGCGTGACGTTCAACCGACCCCCTCGACCTCCTAACATTCCCTCTCCTCCTCCACTCATTCCAACCACCAAGCCCACAGACAAGCCCTCCTTCATCCACGGAGGCTCTATCTCCCAGGTAAGGCTTCCAGGTCATAATGTGAAGCTCTTCTAAAGGACTCCTCTTATTACTGATACTAATGTAGACAAATCTAATTCCTTAATTATTTTCACGTGAGCTGTTAAAATGAGCAGCACTAGGTKTGTTTTCATCAACATCACACGCTGGCTAACCTAGTTTGTTTTRTGTATTGTTTAAAGTATTTGTTGATGCTGTCCTCCATAAAACGCTGATTTGTGCATAAAGAGTAATTTTGTTTAGTTATTACTTGACACAGTTCTAGTGTTAACATAAAACAGAAGATCAGTATCACTTGACACCATTTTATTGTTTGTGTACAACCTCAGTGGCCTGAACCTGAACTTGAACTGAGTTCTTTGTCCTGGTTTTTCTTCAGGGAACTCCTGGCACATATTTGCCCTCCTATGCTGTCTACGGGCCAGAGGGGACTAAGAGCTCCGTGGGCTCCATCTCTCTGGGTCTGCCTCGGCAGATGGATCCCAACAAGCCTGGTAGGATGACAGATTGTCCCATGACTAATCTGTTTATTTTGCTCCTTTTTTTTCTTTTGAAATAACATTCATAAACACGTGACTGAAGAACAAACGGTAGACCAGTAAACAAACCTCTGAAGACCACAAGACTCTTTCCTCATCAAAAATAAATAGACACTTCAAAACAATTTGATTACTTTTTTAATTTTGTAGAAGACTAATTTAAAATCTGGGGCATTTTCTTCCTTAGTGAAAAAAAAACAAAAAGAAAAAAATTGTATAGGTCTTCTGGACGGGTTCTTCTCT